GATTTAAACTAGCTAAACACAGATGCCGAAGAAATATAAGAAAATTCACCTTCGCAAATAGAGTGGTAGACGGTTGGAACAAGTTAAGTGAGAAGGTGGTGGAGGCCAAGACCGTCAGTAGTTTCAAAGCGTTATATGACAAAGAGTGCTGGGAAGACGGGACACTACGAGCGTAGCTCTCATCCTGTAACTACACTTAGGTAAAAAGTTAGGTAAAAACACACACACACACCCCATTCTGAGACCATAATGAATAAAATAACATTTGGTGACATTTTAATATTTTTGAAGTCAATTTGAAATTGTGATTTTTTTTTTTTTTTTTTTTTTTTTTTTTTTTTTTTTAACTTTTTTTTCTGTTCATGGCATGATGTTGATCCATTAGGAAAAGTTGGAGCATTTACCATGAAGATATTACTCACAAAAAATTGAGTGTTTCAGGAAGTTTTGGAACACAAGCACCGGGCCCCTTAAGTCTAGCCAGCCTGCGGTCTTCCCTCACTGCCATGGTGTTAGGAAGTATAGTCTTTTGGCTGTCTTTGGCAATATGTCTTGGGATGATATTCAGGTCCAGGGGTTTTGGAGGTCAAACAGGGTCATGGGTCCTGGGAGTTGGATGAAGTGTTGCTTGTCTGTTTTATTTTTGGGGGAGTTTTTACTATTTTAAGGACGTAGCTTGTAATTTTCAACCAGACAGTGGTCTGTTTTGATTCGCCTACCTTTCTGGGTGCCTTCTCTGGTCAATTGCATGTATAACATATATTACATGTAAAATGCTCATAGGCAATTACTCTCTGTGCCTCTCTGAAGGTGCCAGGTTCTGGCTTTGGGCACCGGTAGGCAACAATAACTCTGATGACCCCAAATAGGATAGCACTGTAACAGCGAGATAGCTTCAGGGAGCCTCCAGAGCTCACCCAGAAATTGGTGTTTCATTACTTGCAAGTCTGATTTTTTTATATCGGAAATGGTCTTAATGCAAATACCAAGTTTGTTTCCCAGCATCCTCATTCTTCTTCTACGGTATTTTTTTTTTTTTTGTGTACCATTATCGGTTTTTGGTTAATGCTGTGATACCTTTTCATCCTACTTGGTTTAGCTAGACTTTTCTTGTGGACAGACACCTTTCTTTCCACAAATGTCATAATAAAAATTTATGAAATTTGTTGAGTGTACACCAACACAAAGGAAAAGATCGTGTACATGGTGTGGGCATGTCCAGTATTGTTAGCACTGGACCACATATAGAGAACAAGTCATATATGCTAACACTATCGTAAAATTTATACTAAAGCATAAGTTTAGTAAAACATTTCTAAGAAGGGAAAAACAAAATGTAACAGTATTAACAAAAATATAGAGAAAATCATGATTTAGAATTTATAAGGAGCAATTTGGAGTTTACAGTGTGCATTGACATGAATCTGGATTGCATCCAAATTCCAGAGGAATGATCTAATTAGAAAACTTGTTTGATGCTTGAAGGTATTCATTATAAAGGTCTTGACTTTATACTTCAAAGGTGTAAAATATTTTGCTCATTTCTTACAGTTGACCTTTTTCTTGCATGTTAGATCATTATAAGAAAATTGTTGTTTTGCACTCCTGTCTTAAAATATTTTGGATGCATAATACGAAGAACTTTTCTTGATGTGATGCCATCCCACTGATGTCAGATGGTCTGTGTAAAGCCTCTGATGCACATTGATCATTGCATGTCACCAGATATTCACTTTTACCATTGTCAGTATATATTTACATTCATCTCCATGTTCTTCAAACTATCATCTACATCTCCTCCCCCCCACCCCCCAACCCTTTTTTTTAGTATTCTGTTGATGCTGCTTGACATAAAGTATGATAATGAAAGATTGTGCAATGCAAAATTTAAACCTCCTAGTTATTAGATGCATTCCATTTTATAGTATTATTTCCTAAATAATTGGTTGTTAATTGTATTATCAGTCAAAGTTTCCTATAAACTTGAGATGGCACAGACTCCCAAATTCATAATGCCAGACACTATTCAGGTGTGCTTGTGGCTTGCCATTGGTACAAAATATATGTAGCTCTTTGCCTTTCGTGTCCATGAAGTGCAGGGTTCTCACTAGGAGTATGGAGCAAAGTGGCACTCTAGAGTTGACCTGGAAGTTGCACCATCTTTGCTCTTTTCCATAGCACTTTTGGTTCTGTTGATAATTATAATTTTTGTTTTGTCATGTATTGCTTTGAATAGCATTAATAAGTCAATTAAGTATTTTCTTTATTGGCTATACAGTACTTTATTTTGACCAGAAATACACCATTTTGTATAATGTGATAAAAGCTTTTAAATTAAATGTGGTGGTAATAGAAAATTATTTTGAGCATGGTACTGTAGTGCCATTACTGCATTCCTTGAGGAGAACCCTAATCACAGTCGTTCTGTCCAGTGTACTGTATACTTTATTCAGATAAATAAAAGCTGCATGTACTCTCTCTTGCTTTTCCAGCATATTTGCAACAAGCATTCTCTTGATGAAGATCTGGTCAACACAAGTGCATCCTTCCATAAATCTCCAAGGGTGAACATTAAGGGCTCGGCACTACTTGTCCAGGGTGAAAGTCACGGTAAAACTTTACATGTCCGAGAAGAAATTTGTACTGCCAAAGACCTTTAGCTATTACATTATGTTAAATGATTGTTAGTGTTCTTTGTATTTGTTTTAAATCAACCTATAATGGCAAAAAAAAGTTACTATTCATACAAAGACACCTAAGCAATCTTTAAAAGGCTCTTGTCTACATAGGCAAGTTGAACCTAAAATTTACTTGTCCAACTCTCAAATTTAATCCTGGACAGTTGGACACGTGATATTGTTCAGCCCTGATGTGTCACTTTACTACACGTGATCTTTTTTTTTTTTTATTTCATCCCTATCACCTCCACATACTTGACCTCTACACTAAGTACTGTAGTCTGTTGCAACTATAATTTTTGAATTTCTAAATTATATTTTTGCCTTTCTGCAGCATTACATCCAGTGCATCTGACTGGTAGTTTTGCTTACACAGATCTCACGCTTAATTACACGAGTTATATTTTATCTTTAATATAGTCCATTTTTTAATCTTCGGCTCATTACTTTTTCAGCAGTTGCATGAATTTTACCAAGACGTAATTTAATTCTTTACTAAACAACATACGAGCATCAAATCATTGTTTAAGAGTGAGGCAGTTGAGTAGTTGGCCTAAGACAGCTATGAAAGATATATCATTTGGGAAGCAAAATTGGTGCTAGTACTTCATTCACCGTTTCCTTTCTCTGATTTCACTGATGTATTACATTAGCTGGTATTGAGCAGTCATAGAAACACAAGCACAAGGAACTAAAGTACTGTACTCTTATTCTAGTTGCTGGTCCCTTTCTTTAGTTGTACTAAAAATTGTTCCATCACTTGTAGGCTGCTACATTCTCTTTACGCCTCTGCATTGCTTGTTGAGGCAGTTTCTGGGGTGCAAAAAAAAGCTGCAGCTATGTCATATTTGTAAAAGCCAGGCCAACATGTGGAGATCTACAAGTATTGCAAGTCTCCTAATTAACATTAGTAGGTAAAGGTCCCATAAATGCATAGGGGAATGGGTCCAAGAGTTAGCTGCTACACTTGAGGATGAAACTGTGAGGCTGCCCTGTTCAAAGGCAAGCTTTTACATGGAATAAACACCAAAGAAAAAATTGGATACTGCACATTGATTTATTCTATGAATGGCAATTTGCCAAGAATTGTACTAGAATGCTTTGCTGCATAGTGGTAAATAATTTAGAACTTACACAAATTTACATTATCTGTTTGTAAATTTCTGTGATTGTACATGGAAACTTAGGTTATTTCTTTCTCTCTGATCATGTGGACCTAAAGTAACTGCACATAAGTTAATTCTGCACTAGTTTTTGTGGAACATGCACTGGCCCCTTCTTTGTTCTCATTATACAACCTGTGAACACTTTGATCTTGTCATATTCCACTTGCAGCTATGTGAGCATGGTGATGCATGTAAAATTCCTCAACACTGGTTAGAATGCATCTTATTCACCTGAGTGTTCAAGACTTGGCAGTGGTGCACAAAATGCTTCTGGGAAACCTCTGCATGTTCATTGATCTAGGTCATAAATAGTAAATATACTAAGTACTGAAAGAAATAGAATATTTTAATTTATTAAGCTATTAAACCAGACATTATCTTTGTATAACAACTTATATTTACCTACAGGTTCATGTGTTTATATTCATCAGTTCAATTTCTCGGTTCAGAAGTCACTGGCTGAATTGGTTTTCCCTGTATACATGCTATGAGTTTGAGGAACTCTCAAGTCTTGATGCTTAAGCGATGTCGACTTGATGAACGCTTCGTTGTTTTTAGTATTAAACTGATATTGGCGAGCTAGTGGGTGTTAGTGTATTCAAAATTGGTTCCAACTCTGAAGATAAGAATGTCTGCCACTTTGATATTTCTAACCTAATGCAAAATTTATGAGCATGCACTGTGTTCAAATATTAATCTGTATGTCTGCCAATATTTAAGAAAGGTTATGGGTTTTCATAAAGTAGTTTATTTAATATAGTAGCAACATTTTGTACAACTTGTTTGAAAGAGAACAGCTAAATTGGATTGTTGCTGGAGATCTATATTAAACATTGTAATAATGTTTGATGAATAATGTAATGATTGTAATAATGTTTGACAGGGTAGAAATTTTAAAAACCTTTTGGTCGAAACTTTTAAGGAGTCTTAGACACAATTGACTTTGTAGTATTAATAGTATGAGATTGTGTTTTTGAAATATGAAAGCTATATTTCGTCTATACAAATTGTTGCCTGCACATTTAACTTATTGATCGGAACTAATTTGCCTAAATTATATTCCTGTTCTATTTTTATAATCTTTTTAGTATCCAAGCAGTTTATTTCATGGATATTGATAAAAATTACTTGTGACTAAATGGCAATGTTTCTTCAGGTCAAACGAGAGGAAGTTGATCGTCGGGTAAAGGAACAGCCAGAGACATATTCACACAAGTTTTCAGAGGAATCTAAATTAATATGTCAGCAAGTAAGTTGTTAATTTTGCCTATATTTTTATTTTAGATTTTGGAGAGTAAAGATATCTAATGTTCTGAATATGTGTTGAGTTCAGCAGTTGACAGGCAAGATCATACCAGTGGAAGCCTGATCGATATAAGCCAATATGAAACAAGGAAATTCATCAGTTCAAGAATTTTTGAAAGTATATGTTGTGTAAAATGTAACAATGCTGTGTAACTAGCTGTACTGCAGAGGACAATTTTTCTTAATAAATTTGATCCAGACACAAGCAATATTGATCTACAAAGTTATTCTATTTAGCATTCCAATTTCAGAGATCAACTCTAGCTTGCATCTGATATCTCATCAGATAGTTCAATTTGGGATTTATCAGTTACCAGTACCAATCGTTTTTGGATGATAAAGGGATTGGGTTCTTACTGATTTTAAAATAATCTTCCATTTATGCTTTAGCCTCATATTGCTTGTATCATCCCACTAATGTTATACGTAACCTATAAATCTTTGCAAATTATGAAATGCTGGCCTTGATTCTTTATAAGTGCAGGAAGCTATTATGCAGTAAACATAATTAAATTTGTTTCATAGATTTAAGAGTGTAAATTCACATGCTTCTTGCAGTTGTTGAAGAAGAATGTGCGAGAGCGACTAGGGTGCTCGAGAGGTCGACACGGCGTTGCAGAAGTAAAGACTCACGACTTTTATAAAACAGTTAACTGGAAAAGATTAGAGGCAGGAATGTGTGAACCTCCATTTGTCCCAGAT